GGTCCTCGTTTCTAACAGCCCCTCTCAACTTGATTAAAGAACATTTCTTCCTTTTGTTGTGGGAAGTGTGCACATAAGACAGCATGCTCCAAATTACTTTTCGTTTGCTATTTCTCAATGAACCCATTTTGCTGGTGAAATAATTGACTGCTGATTTGTTTAAGGTCAATAGTCTCTAACAACACAGAAGCAGGAAGGGCCATGGGAAAGGGGTTGGCCAAGACTCACATGGGTATGAAACTTGCAAAGTCCTCCTCTTTCCTCAGCTTGTCTGGACTGCCACAGATAATAGCTGACAAAGAACTACAGGGGTGAGAGACCAATGCATTTGGATCTGTGATCATCATTAGGTTTGAGTAATATGCTGTAATTCAGATTTCCACAGAATCCATCACACTGGCCTGGGAGTGATGGGACATATACTGGATTCCATTTCCCAGGCCTGACCCACAAAATACTAATTTAAGCCACCACCCACTGTGCTGCCACCCTCTTTCAGATCCTAAATATAGTCAGTCTTAACAGTCCCCCCCTCCCCGGGAATCCATATAAAATAATACAGTAAATGATAAGCAGAAAAACAGGATTATCAAAATAAGATACGACAGTTTACATGCAAAGCAGGTAAAGGTAAAAGCAAATGAGTCATAAACCAGAACCAAAGCTAAATAGTTACCACCTCTCAGTCCTGCATTTCACTTGCATTGATTTAGTTGGTTCCTTGGCTGTAACGAAACACTAAAATCACTAGACCTACAGTCTGTGAAAACAGCAGCTTTGAAAACTTTCAATTTTCTGTTTTCAATGACAGTTAAATCAACATTTTTGAAGTATAAAAGTTAAATGAAGCAAAGAATGATAAATGAAGCCCCACAATTGCTGAAACCTGATTATCCTGAGATAAGAGCAGACCAAACTCCATTTACTCAAATTTGTCCCTAAAGAACAAGACAAATGAGAGAAAGAAAGAAGGAAAGAAAAACTGACTTTAGATCAAGAAATACTTCCAATTATTCCTCCTAAATATGGGAGAGACAAGGAAACAAAGAGAATGCAAATGGACCAGGATCCCATTTACACTGGGGGGTGGAAATTAATGAAATGGCTCCATTGGAGAACAACAACAACAAAAAATTTGACCTCCATTTAAGAAGTTAATTTATGCAATCCTGAGTCTTCATACAAGTTAAGCAGCACAGAATATCACAGCAGGCATAGAACAACAGATCTGAACCCTGCTGTGTTTGTTCAAGAAGGCAAGTTAAGCTATTCCTAACAGAAAACAAAACCTGGGGTCAGGCTATTAAACAGGATGTTTGGTGTACTGTGCAGCCCTGAATGCACCAAGTGCTGTTCCAAACGGGATTAGAGATGTGGTTTTTTTTTAACTATGGTTTTGAGAAAAATGTTTATGCCTGCTCCGAATTCTCAAACTGATACTAACTAACATGGTGCCAGGCAAGACACAGAATGCCCACAGGACCCTCTGTGGGTCTCCGACAAACTCTGAAGTCCCATGAAAGCAGCACAAAATGAAGGGGGAAGAGTACAGGTGTGTGGAAGAGTTAAACAGCCCAATTTGGAATTCACCAGAGTATTTTTGCCTTTAAGGCCCCGCTTGCCAGTGATTAAAGAAGATATGGAATGAAAATTGATGTTTAATTCTTATAGACTTTGGGTAATTCTGCCATGTTGTTATTATAAAATGGGATCTTTTAGATTTTTTTTTTTTTGGTAGAAGTCAAGAAGTAACATGGAAGAGGAAAAAGCAAACCTTTTTCACACATAAATCTCTCTTCATTGTTAAATTTAATGATAATAAAACCACTGGTGTAATTGGCTCAATTTCCACCCAAAGAGCAGGTTTGTGTGACTTGAAGACATCAGGTCTGGGTTGCTACATGGTTTTTGAGCCAAGACTTCAGGACACTGCTTACGTATGTAATAAAAAAAGTCTTTAACATTGGTCAGGTGTATAGCCAGCTAGTATTATTTCAAAAATCTATCAAGAGCCAAAAGTAGAAATTATCTCAGAAGTACATAAGAATCACAGGGAAAAAAAGAACATTTTTATTTATTTATTTTTACAAAGCATTATTCTAGAAAAGAGTCATAAAAGGCTGAAAGTTTTGGAAGACCCTCAAAACATTAGAATCCTAAAAACAGTAACTAATAGACAACAATCATTAATAACTGTTACACATAAGAGGGACAACCAAATGGGACCTTTCTAGTTGTAGATCAGCCAAGAGATTAAAATAAGCATGTTTACAGAGATATAAGTATTTAAAATATTTATAGAGAAAACTGTTGCAGATGATACAAAGAGATTCCAACAAAAACACAACACAAATGCAGACACCATATGGTCCAATCTATGCACTCATGACTTCATGTGAAAAGCAGGCCATAGACATAGCAGCTTGAAATGCCTCCCTTTTACCCCTAGAACAACAAACTCTTAGGTTTGGAGGGGGTTCGGTATAATTACGTGCACGAATGGGTGAAATCCATGGGTAATGTCAAAGACTTTAGAAAGTTATCTCTCAAAAACAATTGTTTCAAAAGCATCTGCTTTGCAGAGATTTCAACCCAATCTCCATTTCTCTGTGGTTCCATGTAGGAGAAGATGCAGCATGCAACATAGTTTGTAGTAAAACTAGAGGAGAACCACAGATCTCTGGGCTCTTTTGTCATCTCCTGATTATTCATTAGGCTTCAGTCAGAACCACAGAACACCACAGAGGTCCCAGTCATCACATCACATCTGACTACTCTCCTGAGCAGTTCTATAACATCAGGCTCCAAGCCAAGCAATAGTAATAGGAAATATGAATTGTGTGAATGTGTAGGCTCTCAGGCTCTGTGGTAGGCAAAGAATGAGAATCCAGTCTTGTAACAGAACTGAAAAGTTAGTCTCTCACCCCTATTAAACAAGACCCCTTCGATTTAGAGAGGTTAATTAAGTTGCTGCACATTACAAATATATGAAGGCTAGAATGAAACTCAACCCATTCCGTAGCAAGACAATATATTTGAGGGGAACTGATGCTTGTAAGAACCATGACCTATTAGCAAAGGCCTCCTTGGTAACATTGGGAGGGGAAGGAAAAGAGCACAATGGGAGGAATACACATGCACCACCAGCTGAGACCTCCTGTAGGAGGATTCTTTCAGTTTTCAGCGGGCTGCTCTTCAACTTCCCTTATCTTCATTCAGATCCCTGAAGTTTATGGTCAAACTCCCCCATGGAATTGCATTGCCCAGAAAATAACGCAAGAGTTCCGAAAGTAGTTCATGCAGGGCTCTCAGTATTTTTTTTTTTTTAAGGCAAGTCTCTTTCTCTATTTTGCTAGAAAGAAGACAATTCTCAGCCATGGTGAGAAATGGGAAGCAGCACTATTCCTTGATATATAGGCTGCAGAACAAGTCCCCAGATGATCCAACATCACTGGAGTATCTTCCTCATTTTTGAAAGTTCTATGATCACAATCACATGCTTTACGTTGCAGGACATGGGATGTGAGTCATATATGATGACAGAAGGAAAGAGTGCAATGAGCTAAGTGCAACTGAAGAATTGTATCATCTGGCAACATTTGTTCTTACCATATTCTGTCTTGGTTTCTTTTGAACTTTGTTTTAAAGTCTTATGACTGATGGCACCTCAAATTCATGAGGCATCTTCTACAGCAGCCTGCATTTGTACATGGACCAGTGGAAATTTGATAAATAAATTCCAGTAAGTTGAGGCTGATCCAATTTTAAGCACTGAATTTGTTAAGTCTCCTCACATAAAAATTTCAAATGTGGGCAATTAAGAAAACATGATCTATCAAAGATGCTGAGGCTTCCAGATAATTGACCATGTATTTACCCTGGAAGCTGTTGATCTACTCTAATAGTTTAACTTTTAATGATGTGTTCAATCCTTTTGTGATGGCACTGAAGTGTAATCAAACATTACCACAAGCCAAGTCATACACCAGCATGTCTTGCCTTGTTTAAATATCTCAAATATATTTGAGTAATTGTGTAATGATTTCTAGGCCTCTGGTTGTCCATATGGTCTGAACAGACTGTCTTTTGTAGAGCAGTTGTGCTAGCTCTGTCAATGAGTAGGAACCAAATCATCTCTTCTCTACACTGGAGAGCTCAGGAGGTACTTCTTAAATTTTATAAGTAGCTGCGGTAGTGGCCAACTACAACTCTTAACCCTGAAACCAACCCACATCTTGCCCCTAGCAATGGCTGTTTCTTTTGAAAATCTTGCTTATGTCTGTGAAAAACACAAGAACATTGCAACAGGCATCACGTGACATATACTCTGCCATGACTGTCCTGTGGGTACATGACATGCCATGGGGGTGACACAGCAAAGCCAGCACTATAATCACATGGACTCTTTCTGGACAGAGAACATCATAGGTGGTGGAACCAAATCATCTCTGACAGGTAATGAGGACCAGTGAAAGGGTCTGGCCATTGTCAAGAACTCTACTTTAATGTTCTCCAGGTGCTATGGGCAATAAAACAAGCAAAGAAGCTGTTGATTTTATAATTAATGAAACCCACGGGTAGTTTATGGAGATTTGTCTGAATTGCCCAGAAACTAAATGTGGTCACGGGGTGTATAACTATTCATGTTATCACTCTCCCTAGGGAAGTATTCCAGGTAAGACCTGGAATGCTGTGTTTGAAGGAATATTCCAAACTTACTCTTGACCTATTATTTGAGAATATTTAACAAAATGGTTGGCTGTAAATTCACCCCAAAGCCAGTGGCCAGAATAAGGTTCTTTGGTGGGTCTAACTTGGCAAGGGGAATGTGGGCAGTTGAGCTTGTTGGTCTGCCTGCTCCTGCCCAAATTCAAGCTTCTCAAATTGTAGGAGGGAAACCATTTCACTGGTCATGAACAGTGCTGAACGCACAAGACCATGAAGACATGCAAGACTCGTGAGTACTGGGGATGACTGGAATGTGATAGAAAAGAGTTTACCTTTTGTGCCTGAGGGAGCTGAAAAATAAGGGGTGGGGAAAGAAAAAAAAAACAATCATTATATAAGAATTTAAGTTAACTGTAAAATTTAATTCAACAGTTTTTGGCAAATAGAAAGAACAAAGTGGGGAGAAAAGAGAAAATAAAAGTACAGCCAAATCATTTCCCAAAATAAAGTCACAGTGCTGATAATTCAACCTGCTATCTGAATCTGCAATATCAACAGAGAAGCCATAAATTTGACAACATGTGTTTTAGGAATCATCATGCCCAGTGCCTTTGGTAACCCTCCTGCAAGCTGCATCTGGGGTTCTTCTGTCCAGTGGTGTACACAATTGCACACCAACAGATACCCCACCCGCGTGAGGAGGACTGTCTGGAGATTTTTGGAGCTTTCAAAACTGGAGGGAAAGGAGGGAGCAAGATCTATTGGCCTTTGGTGGATAGAGAACAGGTTTGCTGCTAAACACCTCACAATACACGGGACAATTCCTACCACCAAGAATTATCCAACCCGTATGTAATCATGCCAAAGTTGAGAAAGCCTGCTGTAAAAATAAGACCGTTAGAATCACGTTCTGTTTGGGAAGTGAGCTTGTCTCGCTTTGTAACACATTAGCTCTTCTTTTTATTGGTGGTTAAAAAACACACTCACTACGATTTGTACATTTGAACTAAAGCTGATAGTCTAAAAACAACAAAAAGGCAGTCAGTCAATCCATAAAGTAGAACATAATAGCTTTCCCAATGGCATAGGCAAGGAACTGAAATTATTTGTGTGTATAGGGAAAAAAATTCACAAAAGACATATTTGTCTATTTTTCTACATTGAGACTATTAGGCTAGGGATTAATGTCACAATATTTGTGACTACCATTATAAAATGCAATGTTTTGAACAGCTTTTTTTTCTAAATTGGGTTGGGATTAGTATTATCTGCATAATAAAAGACAAATTTAAATGTTACATCATTTTCAAGATTTACTTTTCATTATAAAGACTAACATTCATTGAATTTGAACTTGTCACCAAGCATTCTGCTCAGTCCTTTAGTTGTATAAACTCACTAAATCACAGTAGCCCAATACTAGATAACCTCATTATCCCTAGTTCATTCCTAGATGAAAAATAAATGGAACACAGAGGCTAAATAATTATTCAATGTCCCACAGATCACAAATTATCATTCAAGGTCACCTGACTTTATAATGTGTGAGTTTAACTCAACTAATGCATTAATAAAGGCCACAAACACAGAAATGGTGGGTATCGTCTCTTTGTTTCTGTAGTTTGTAACACTAGAAGTGACGTTAGATGTAATATATATATATATATATATTGTTTTACCCTGGGAAGAATATACTTTATTCATATGTACTCACATCAGGACATCAGGGTTTTCTTGCATCTGTGCTCAGGCCCTGCCTCTGTGGATGGAGCCCAACAAAGGGTAGAAGGGAGAAACGCAAATCACCCACATGACTGAATCTCAGCAACTTCTCCGAAATGTTCTGGAGAATGTCTACAAAGGGCATAACCCAACCTGTCTCACACTCATTTTTCAAGCACTTTTATACTAAAAGGTCTCCCAATTTAAAACAAGAACACAGTGTTTTTCTAATTCTTTCCACCTAATAAAGGTGGCCTCTATTGGAAAAGGAAGCTCCTAAGTTCCTCCAGTGTTTCTCAAGAGTTCAGAAAAAAAATATTGAAATGAGAAATTGAGCCTAAAACAAGGAATCATTTAAAGAAAAGCCTCTTAAATATTAAACATCTTTTCACACAATGGAAAAGAAACCTTGGAGACATGAACATTAATGAAATGATAAATGTATGTTTCCTTAGGAAAGCATTTGTGTTGAATCACAGCTTATGTCATAGGAAATGCACAGGGGGCCATGAGAATTACAAATGTTTGATGAACTGTAAAATAAATACCAAAGTTAAGTCCTGCACAAACTGCTGGACTTGACAGGCCTCTTTCAAAGGAGAGCTGCTCTTTCTATTTCTCTCTCGAAGTTGTATTTGGTGGAGCAGGAAACACCTCTTTTTGACTCACTTGTTTAAGCATAGAAGAAGAAATCTGGGGAAGGAAAATGAGAGACTAGGTCTTTGTGGCAATGTCCTCAGTTTAAGACTGCCCTCAAACTCTCCACAAAACATGTATTTTCCTCAAGAAATAACTCATGGCAACAAAGAGCAACTTTCCTATCGCAGCTTTTAAATAACACAAATTACAGTTTGCAATGCTCTAAACAGGTTGGACCTCTGAGGAGAAACCTCAAAATAGAACATAACAAATTTAAATGGGATCATTGGCAGACACAGAGGATGCTGCTTGGGAGTAGGAGCTGGGCAACACATACCCAACATTCACAAATGGTGTAGGGAATCTTAAATTGAAAGCCAGACTGCTTGGACAATGGCTTAGCTGGTCACTAGGTCCACCTTGGCCTTTGACTAGAGGCTTGAGACACTTTCTTTCCAGCCTTTAACCAGGGAGCTCGTCTATAAATAAGGATGGGGAAGGGAGGGCTGAGAATGAACTAGATATTGGATGACCACAGGTTTTGTTTTGTGAGCCGAGTCTGAATGATTAGTAATGGCTGTCTAGAGGGCTGTGTTCAGAGTTTTATCTGACTTTCATTGCAAAGAATGTTGTAACCAATTAGCAATGTCTGCTGTGGGCTAAGAACTAAGGAGTGGCAAACCATATTCCTAGAAATGATGATCCCTAAAGATTTTATTATACTTTTCCTTGCAGTTCTGAGTGCATCAATGATTTCTACATGATTTAATGTCTCACTGTTGCTAGGTCACAAACTTCATGAGGACAGGAGTGTGTCTGCCCTGCACATGTCTCTGTGAAGTCCTTTCAGCTGTGTGTTGACTGCTGCTCTACTCGTTAAAGAAGACAACGGATTACTAGAGTATACTGAGGATGGATACAGGGAAAGATAACTGGGGTAACTAAATTGAAATCACACCTTGTATATACAACATGTAGATAACTCAAGCTGATGTTTTCAAAAGAAAAAGAAATTTCTCTACACAGAGATTAAGTATGAAATTCCCCTATTCCCAATGACTGCATAGGTTTCTGTACTTGTGTTGACTTCCTCTTGGCATAAAACCAGGCTACGAACACCCTGTTATCATACAGCCTGAGGTGAAGCAACTTCTCTTTCTCAAAGACTTTGTCTTCTTCAAAGCTACCTTGTCAGGGATTGTTAGCCAGGTTCCATCTCTCTGACAGTTTCCACACTTAATACATGAGCATCTTCACAAACAGCTGCAATTTCAGCTTCCCTCCAGGCCAAGCATCCCAGATTGTATGAGTTGGTATCAAAGTAAATATATCCTGCAGCCTGCAGCCACTTTTGGAAAAGGAATGGGTGAGAATGAGAGAGAGCACACATGCATGCGTGTGTGTGTGTGTGAGAGAGAGAGAGAGAGAGAGAGAGAGAGAGGGAGGGAGGGAGGGAGGAAGGGAAGGTGGGAAGGAGAGAGGGGGGAGAGGGGGGGAGAGAGAGAGGGAGAGAGAGAGCAAGGGAGAGAAACAGAGGGAGAGAGAGGGAGATAGAGGGAGAGAAAGGAAGAGAGAGAGGGAGAGTGTGAGGGGGAGAGAGAGAGAGGGAGAGAGACAAAGGGAGAGAGAGGGAGAAAGGAAGTAGGCAGGCAGGAAGGAGGGAGGGGAGGGAGAATAAAATGTGATAAGCTGTGGGTTTGCTCAATTCTAGGGAAAAGCTGGGTGTGGGAGGCGTCCATTCACATTTAAAAATTGACACTGAGACTGTGTCAATCAGGAGAGAATGAAGGAGAGGAAAGTGATGAAAATGAATAAACAGCAAGAACAGTCACTCTAGTGAACATGCCCAAGGAACAGGTACATAGCTAAACACATTACCACCTTGAGCAATTTGGTCCTTCCAGTGGACCTCTGGGTTAGATATTGTTTCATCATCCATTCACTGATGAGGAAATAGATGATATTTAGAATAGTCACATATCTTGCCAGGTCATCTACCCAGGAAACCCTTGAGTTAAGGATCAAAGTCAAGTCTCTCTGTAGCTCCACCTCTGCTTTAACCATCAGGATCAGGATATGCTTCTCATGTAGAACAAAGGAGCCAGCACCAGCCAAAGCTCCTAAAGCACTGAGGACGTCATAGGTTATTCTTTGTATGTGCCCACATATGAAGGGGGGGATTCTAGTACCACCTCTCCCATAGGTAAGTCTGGATGGATGACAGAATCTGGCCTACCACACTTCTCAGTGAGCAGCGTGGATGGATGGTATGATGTGGATAGTTGCCAGGCCCTCTCCTGTTACAGTCATTTACACTTGTTCCTCCCTCATCCTGGAAGTCCCCTTCATACCCCTCCGTCCTTACTTACCAAACACCTACTTTTCTGGTCAATTGTGAACCTTGTCTGCCATTCTGACATCCACCCTCATCACATGCCCTCACAATATCAGATGCCTCCTATTCACTGAACAGCTGCTGTCAGTTGTAGTAACTGCCATTCTGCCTTATTTGGTTACAGAAATCCAACTTTTTGCCAGAAACAATGAAATGACTGTACTAGAATTCAATGTGGCTAAATGAATCACTCATGATCAATGGGATATAGATGAATATGGCTTTTCCAGTGTCCTTAAAAGGAGTCCCTGCACCCCCTGCCAGGAAGGTAGATGTGATGGCTAGAGTTGTAGCAGCCATTCTGAGGTTATTTTGAGGATAAAAACCATGCTCTAGGATAGTAAGGACAGCAGTGGTAATAGGCATTTACAATAAATATGTCACACTACCTGCTGCCATTCTACATGCTTTGTCTATCGGAACTTGTGAAAAACGCATAGCTTTATTAAATAAATTCTGTTATTACTCCAGTCTTGTCTATGATGAAACTACAAAGTCAAAAAGCTAGAGAGCAGCAAAGATAGATTTTGAGAAAGGACAGTGAGAAGATGATGGCGGGCTGGTCAATGTGCAGGTGTAGAGCAAGCAGCGGTC